AGAGGCAGCACAGACACATGGGGAAAGCTTGGCTGCACGTACTTCATCTCCCTTTCTTCCTCCTTAATCCCTATTCCTCCTTCCTCGTCATCCTTTTCTTCCTTCTGCTCTGTCCATTATTTCCTTATATGTACTTCTTTTCTAGGACCGTAAACGGACCTTGAGGTCTTTGATCGCAAACAAATCAACCACCTTAAGTGTTTTTTTTTTTTTAATACCCCAAGGAAATGCTCATATGTAAAACACCATAACATGGTATTATATCTGAGCTGCTGCAGAAATTTACAGTGCAAGCAATCTCTTTAAGACACCAGGCTATGTCCTTGAGCGGACCTCTTAAAAAAACTTTGAAGAACTGCAGGCAGGGGGCAAGTAATTTGTTAAATGAGCATCATAAAATGAGCCTACCCTTTGCCAGAAATGCTAATGTCATTCTCTAGACTTGCTATTACTCACCACTTAGACAAGCCCCATAAAAATAAAATAAAATAAAAATGCCCTTTGAAAGAAAAGGAGAAGGAATATATTGTAAAACATGGGAAGTGACAGGCTGGCCTACACTGAAATAATTTCACTTTCTGTTTGATATATGCGTGAATCCCTTGAGTTGGAATTAGGCATAATTACGCAGCTCAGTTCTGGCCCTGTTTTCACCACACATCCGACCTGGTCTCGATCTCCAATCGCATCAGCATTAATCTCTTTCCAGTGCTACATCTTCATTCAGGAACTTTATCACTAATACACTTTTTTATTTATTTTAACGAGGATTAAAACAGACATCCAGCTCGAATCACTACATGACAGCAAGCTATCTGTGCAATGAGAGGACAATGAAAATGGCATTTCACTAGGCTGTGATCCAGAAGCACTGAGGAGCTGATTTAGTGAGGGGATGCCTGGGGTGCTTGGGAAAGGTGAAAGGATATCAGGTGAAGCTCTGTCATCGGTGCCCTCTGTTGGCATCCTCCGGCACTACAGCCAAAGCCCCCATGGTATGAACATCTTTGGGGCAATGACAGCTTCAAATTACACAGGAGATCTACATATTTAAATATGCACAAAATATAAGATGAACCTGTCTGTGTAATTTACCCGCCTCTCTACACCCAAAAACATTGCCGAACAGTTATTTTCGGCAGCAAGAGATATTATGGTGATGTGTCTTTTACTGTTGGTCTAAATTGCATAATAAGTCTGTTTAATAAGGTTGGTAGCTGCTCTGGGGGAAGTGTATTATGTTAAACGTAAAAGTGCTTGCAGAGCACAACAGCTAGATGGGGGGGCTGAAGGGGCCTGGGGTGGCAGTGGGGGCAGCTCTGTCGTGACAGTGCAACAAAAGATGACGACAGTTTTTTGGACAAAAAAAAATGGATTGACTACATGTCGCCTTATTTTCTAAATGGTTGACGGGGGAAAAAAATGTTCATTTTATTGATGGAAATGGAAAAAATGCCCTTTCAGTTCTGATTTAAATGAAGTGGGTTAACGTGGCCCAGAAGATTTTTACTTCCCCCCAGGTATCAGTCCTCACTTCAGTCATCACCGCCTTTTGTTGATTCCTTTGGATTATCTGTCCAGCATGTCAACCTGCCCAAACCACCCTGCATCCCCTTCGCAAAAAGGCCACAGGGACAATAAATATACAATCATAATTCCATATAGCCTTACAGATTTTTCCTGTGAAACACAGCCAGTGTCCATATTGAGGTATATCGAGTCACAGGAGTTGTTTTCCGCTATTTTTTGTCTATATATCCAGAATACAAGGAGATACAGAAACGGTTTAGAATCTGTCACGCCTTCATCCTGCTCTCTCTCTCTCTCTATCTCCCTCCCTCCCTCCCTCTATCTCCCTCTTTCTTCCAGTCCGTTTCTCTTGGCAGTTAAATGAAATCAAGGTTGAACAAACGAGTTTCTGTGTTTCTTCCCGGCATGGGGAGAGGTCGATCACAGCGGTACCGGGACAGCGATCCAATCGCAATTCTGCGGGCATCGCGGAGACGCCATCTGCCACTTCAGCATGGCATTGCCTGTGCTGGCACAGGCCGGGGCTCCAAGGCGCACACGCCCAGTGCGGGCCAGGCACTCCTACCCACTTCTCCCTTTTCTCACCTTTCCAGTTTCTGCCTCGACCCCCAAAATGAAGACGTCTCACTTTACCAGTTTGTTCCCCATTATGCTGTCTGCATGTTTACAGCTGCAGGCAGAGAGGCAGCCAAAGACAGCAAATGGCTGTCAATTCAAAGACCTAGAATTGACTCTTCCTTGAACAAAGATTCCATCTATCCACCTGTCTTCCATAACTGCTTATCCAGCAGACTAGACACATTCTGGATGACATGTTTGTCCATCTCAGGACACAGTCACACGCAATATCGCACTAAGGGCAAATTTCCCTAAAACTCGTGCCTTTGGGGAGAAGTCAGAGTGCCCAGAGGAAATCCACATGAGCCTGAGGACAGGCAAGCTCCACACACACAGAGGAGTAAAGATACATCCGAATGTGCGGCATTTTAAGTTGCTCTGAGTATAAATCTATTACCAAGCCATTACTGTATAATGTGGTGGTACCAATGGCAGCTATTCAATACAAATTACATTTTTGTTACTCCACATAAGCACGTGTGCTGCGTGAAAAGCATAAATACAAATGCAAAAGCAGCGTTCTACCTTTACTGACGGTGCACACACTCTGAAAAGCTTTAACACGAACTGACAGCCTCCTCGACACGGACCTGCAGCAGACCACCTACTGCCGCTAGGAACGTTGCTCGCCAAGAGGGAAAGAGGACCTGTTTCACATCGATATGAAACCACACCAGCGTTTCAGATTCCGCTCAAAAAAAAAAAAAACGCTCATTACCATGGCGATTGTGATGAATTTACTGCTCTTCTAGGCATTGTTTGCATTGGGTGGAACCACTCAAACCCAGGGGTTTACCTAGCTTTGTATGTAATGTACAGGTTATACACTTTATCCAAAAACCATACACTTTAATAACAAATAAACAAATTCCCTTAGCTTGGAAGACCAAACTGGAACCACTTTACAATTAGACTCCCTTTTGGCACTTGTAAATGGTAGTAATTCATCAATAAAAAGAAAACTGTGTTATAACTTGTTTAAAACTGTCTATTAATATTTTACAGAGTGTTACAACCTAATTAATAACCAGATTATAAACCATAAACTCTTTATATGGGTAGCCTTATTGTAAAGTGGAACCGACCGAACTATTAATTTGCTGTTGAAATAATGAATACTAAGCAGTGGCCAAGAGTCTGGGCCTAAATTAAGGACTATATTTCATGTGAAGGAGAGTCGGAATGTAAAAAAATCTCCAGGATCACAAAGTAAATAAATGCCTCCAGACTGACCTTCACCAAAATCGATGCGGCTCCAGCGGAGGAGAACACAAAGAGACTAAAAGTGAAAACTCGCAGCGAATCGCGGCTGATGCTGTGGGAAAGTCTACCGGCCGTCTGCCAGGCAGACGAACGCAAGGCGTGGAATTGACGATGACACATGCCGAAAGTCATTCGCTCGATGACGCACACAGACGTGAGCGGGCTGCGTTAACGCGGGGGAAAAGCACTGCTTTACTCGAAGGGAGACGTCAAAAGGAGGGGAGCAGGGCTGTGGCAGCGGCGTGCAAAGCATGCTATGTCCCTCTGGTAGTCGCCACTCTCCTTGCGCACCTTGAGCATCGGAGGGGGAGGTTCTCCTGGGACAGAGATCTGAGCAATGCCTGACCCACTTTACTCAAGAATCAAAATGGCATTGCTGGGGAGAGGGACAGCACACAGGAAAAGGGACAGAGAGAAAGGGAGGCCATGCAGGGTAAACAGGGGACAGCAGTGCAGGTTTATGAGGGGTAACAGAGACGGGGGGGAGGGGGTAATGCACACGTAGATAATCACGGCAGGGTGCAATGAGAGATGCAGGGTCACGTGTGCCCTCTCCTCCCCCGCTCCTTCCATCCACATTCCCCTCACCTGCACTGCGACGTGTGCAAACTCACGGTACATGCAGACACACTCTTCATACTGAACGGCGGTACCCTGATGGGCCTGATCTCGGAGCTGATGGGTACCGAATACGCATGCAAACACACGTATGGCAAAAGGGCTCGTCGGAGCAAAAAAGGCACACCAGCGCATACAGCGTCCCCAAATGTAATTATTTATCTAATAATTAATATTTAATGATAATTAAATTTAATTCTACTTCAATAGCATTAAGAAAAACAACTAAATACAGTATACATATTATACACATACACACACACATCCACACACACAGGTTTCTAATTATATCTTTGTGGGGACTCTCCATTCATTTCTGTTGTCTCATCATTGTTTGTTTGACTCATCTTCCGGCCCCTGGAGGATGGGCTCCCCCTTTGGGTCTGGTTCCTCCCAAGGTTTCTTCCTCTTAGGGAGTTTTTCCTTGCCACCGTTGCCTTTGGCTTACTCAATGGGGGATCCTTACGAGGCAGAAATGTAAAGCGCATTGAGACAATGTAATGTTGTGATAATGCGCTATATAAATAATATTGAATTGAAAAATTGAATTGAATTTCTAAGGGGAAAACTCTAATCCCAACATGAGGACACTAACCCCTACCCAGCCCTAACCTTAACTATAAGTAACCAAACAGAATATTTACTTTTTTGATGCATTCACAGATCTTTGTGAGGACCCCACAATGTTAGAATAACAGGTTTTTATTACATTGTTGGGGACATGTGGTCCCCATAATGCAATGTAAACCTAATCCACACACACATACACACACACACACGCAGACACACACACACAGATAAAGAACATCGCTGAGGAAATGGGCACCCAGTGAAAAGCATGCAACAGGTGACCTGCAGTACTGGGAACCAGTGGCCAAGAGCTCCCCCCCCCAACCCCCCCGAGAGTGATGGATGGTGATAACGGCGCCGTGACTGGACCTGAGAAATGGTCCTTTCACAGACGCTGATGGAGAAACGATATCGCAAAGCCCAAACTCAATTTGCTCAGCCTGCTTGGACTCCTTTTTTCCCCCTCCTCCTCTTTACGAAAAAAGGATTTATAAATCATGATTATTTTCTTAATGACCCCTAATATGAGCTGCCGTAAATCAAAACTAAACCAGAGCCTCGAGGGTTCAATCATTCCTGTATTTGCTTAAGTGCGACTCAAACCGCCGCCACACGCTCTGCTCTGACAAATATGACATGACAAATGCGCAGTCTGTCCTTCTGCTGGGACAGGCTGCTACCTGAACAGCACGGCCCTGGTCCTTCAGGCCCTCTGCTGTCCTCGTGTCCTCGGCCCTCTGCTGGAACACAGCTTGCTGGGTCTCCACTGCTGGCTATGTCATCCAACTCCTGTCCTCAGCGGCTTGCAGACCTGCAGGGTTTTGGGGAAATATTAATTTGCACCTGATTTACACCTGAGACACCCACTGAGATGACAATTTTGTTAACTGATTCAAAAATGGATCTGATACCTGATGTTGAGAAGAAACTGTGTAGCAGTCAAAAATGCCCACTTGCTGAAGGTTTAAAAAATGTCGTTGCTACAATGTAGGCTAAGCATCATAGGTGAGTAATATAATAAGTATTATTAATATAATAAACATTATACTTTAATTTGTATTACCATTTTCATTAGCCACTAAAATATATCCTGCATGTCTTTAATTTCAGGACTTCTTCTCATGCTTGTTTTATTTATCACCCTTTTTACCACTGCTCTATCGTTCCCCACCTCCACCATTTCAGGTACTAGCCCCCCTCCACCCAGGCGCCCCCAACCACCCTGTTTCTCCTCTCTCTCTCTCTCTCTCTCTCTCCTCTCTCTCTCCCTCCCTACCTTCCTCCTTGTCTACTTGTTCAAGCAGCCATCTGGGACCTGCCGCACCGGGCTGCCACGAATCCATCAAAGGACCTTCCGGCGTCCGTCGGCCGCAGTAAAACCTTGCCGTCACCAAACGCAGCTAAATCCATCATGCTGCAATTATGTCAGTCGGTGAAGACAGGAGTTTGTCTGTCCTACAACAGAACGCCAGATGTGAGCTTTATTGTGTGCATGTTTCCAAAGGGGGGCTCATGAAGTTATTTCTAAAAAGGAGCCCCCTCCCTGCCAAAGCAGTGGGAGAGCGTTAGCAGAACAAGATTAAAACCATTCCTCTTCCTATACAACGTCTGGCAGAGCTTTCACTTGTCATTTCAGCCTCCATCGACGGGGGCAAGTCACAGATAAACTTAGCCAAAGACCATGAAGCACAAACACAGGCGTCGGAAGACTGACGGCACCGTACCGTTTATTGGGAGACCGTTGTGGTATGCAGGTACAGCCACGTGTCCGCATGCTCGCCAACGGTTTCCGAGAGCGTCACTCTCCTATAAGCCGGTATTTCTCAATCCCCTCACCTGTTGCCACTGTCTGCCCTATCGTAGTGATGGCCGGTACCATCGATTGTCTTTTCAATACAGTTTTGATTGATGCGAGGTTGGTATTGCTGGTACCGAACGAGAGATGGAAGGTTAGGAGGGTCTTTGCTGGCAGCAACCGAGAACTAACCGGTTAGACACGCAAATGTTGTCTTATTTCAAAAACCAATCGTTCATATAATGTGCCCCCGTTCAAGACCTTGGTCGTGCCATTTCCTTATACTCTCTGGGAAACTTCCCTTTTCCCCACTTATGGGTGGCCTTGCCCCATTTCTTATGTCTGCTCTTTATAATAATATAGACAATTAAATTTCAAGGTAAAAAATAGACATTTTAACGTTAGAATCGATTCTCAAAATGAAAGCCTTCAGATTGATAGAATATTGATCCGCACATCCCTACTACCTTTTAGGTTTGGAAGCTCGGGATGAGTGATACCACTGGTTTTCTTTTCAATCTCACCCAGTAGATACCCAGGCCCAATAGTGAGACTGGAGGGAATTTAGAAACAAAATTATCTGACAATTTTAAAATTGAGCCGGTTGAAAACAAACATTTTTTACAACTTAGCATTCTACAATAACGCTTCAGAATGTTAACCAATGAGTTTTCTCTCTCACTCTCTGTCTCTCACACACTCACACACACACAAAATAAACCACGACTGGAGAAACGCGCAAATACGCCGCACGTGAGTCAGTGTTATCGCGTGTCATTTATAACTGCGGGAGCGCGACACCGGTTGCGCAGGTGCCACAGTTAATTGTTTTCTGTCGTTAATCACTGGAAGTTTCTGAAACGATAGATATTAGAAAGAGATCAGGCGGTGCTGGAAAAGTCAGACTGCTTGAACAGTTCAATATGCTATTTAGTATTTATTTTTTTCTTGAAATGTCAGTAATAAATGTATCGGAATAATAAGACTTTAACTGTGGAATCATTTATCAAAGTTACCCCAGAAAGAAGACAAAATGTGCTGTTCTTGGCCATGAAACTCTCGCGCTGATACCCACCCACACCCTGACCGCGAGGGGGCGCGCCTCGGCTTACCCTCAGGTCCCCAGATGTACCTGTGTATGTGTGCAGCTACCGCCGCATGAAGACGACGTTTAGGGTAAACTGTAGCTTAAATAACGGCTTTTCTGTCAAACCTTATAGCCTTTTATGTCCCGGTGGAATTTACTCATGCAGTTAAAGGCCGCTGACGTGGACGTTACCTGGTAAACGGGATAACTAGCAGCGCCAGTTCCGTTCCTCTCTCATTTATCCAGTTTACGTACAGAGTTACTGTGCGAGTTTCATCACTTATTACATCTCTCATACCATATTATTCATACTTCGTTTCCAGTCGCTGTTGTGGTTATAAACCCATTTCGGTTTACATTTAGTTTGTGGTGTGGGTTATTTGCCATAAGCTCATATGTAGGCCTATTTTTGTCGTCCTCTATATCCATCTCTTTTTGCTGTAACTTAATGGAATCCAAAAATCCCATTTTTAAAAATTTTGCCTAAATTAGTGAGCTGCTTTTGACTTTTGAGCTTTCAGCTTACAGAAATAACGGCGAGGTGGAGGAGCTCCCCCCTGCCGGGTGTCTCCGGGCGAGGCCGGCGGGGGGATGCCGCTGTCTGCTCCCCTCTGACAGTCTCAGGGATGATCCCCGCACTTTGCTCGGTGGATGGCAGCCGAAGCCGCCATTTAGTCGGGCTTCGCGGATGAGCGTAGCGCTCCGAGGCGCATTAGTGATGCCTTACTTAAGCTGGACATTTCCCGATCATTTCCCAATGACGCGGATATGCTTCTCGGGGAATCGCACCCGGCCATTTGCGCACCACTCGTGGAGGGGGGCAGAGGAAGGGTGCTGTGCAGACGTGATACAGGAAGCAAGCACGAAGCTCTTTTGTTTTAGAGGATGAAACATGGTTAATTGCACCGGTTTGTCTCAGGTGTTACCCTCCTAAATCGCCTTATAAATCACAAGTGAATGACAAGATGGTCTAAACGAGCAGTTAGTCATTAATAATATCAGTCTTTTATTAAACTGCCTCGCCATACAAAAACCAATCGTTCGTATAATATTAGGTCTTGATCGGGGGCACATTACGTGGATACGTGTCCTGAATTTACCTAAATAATTAAACGAAAACGCCACAAAATATCAACACTTTGATAATCAGGCACCTTTTTGAAGTTTTTTTTTTTTAACTCATCAGGTTTTTTTTTTTCAAGATGACTCATCGGTTCCTTCGTTTGCCGAGTGAGGGAGTCCGTTTTTCGTTTATTGATTACAAGCTATGCGGAGTCGTAAGCAGTGAATGACAAAGCGGCAGTGATGTGATTGAAGCTCTCTAAACCGGACCGCTACTGCCACCTAGTGTACAGCAAGATCTTTGCTTCGGTTTCCTGAGGGACATAAATTTTACACGATCGATTTTTAAAAGATTACTGTATACACTACATTAACATTTGCAAAAACTTATTAAATAAACAAGGAAAACAAAAAATCATCGTTATATGTACAATGTATATTTATGATGTTTATTTAGTACATTTTATTTGACTGCTTCATGTTTCAGTATACTAGTAGCCCTGGCTTTAAACCCTTATCTCTGTGCACATTAATATATACATAGGGGAGAGAAGCTGATTCCCGTTCAGTGAGATTTCTAGACAGCTGTACGGTCATGCTGAGTTCATTCGCAGCAGTGACAGGCAGACCCTTTGTGAGTGTGCAAACAGTCTGGAGCGAGGAGTTTGAGGTGGCAAGCCATAGCTCCTTAGCAGAAGCTAAGCTGTCAGACCAGCAGTTCATCACCTAGCCTCCCTAGGTCTTCTGTGTCCCCATAGCACACACCTACTTCCCCTTGTCTAAAGCTCAGCAGACTGGGAGATATGAATCAGGGGTCAAGAAAGTGTCTGTGGCCAGAGAGGCCTGGGTACACTTCAGGTTACAGGGTGATTTACCCATCGATTTACTAGTGCTAAGCTTGGCTAAAATAATATCTAAATCTGATGCTTTTTGCAGGCTGACTTGCTGTTGAGATGTAGATCTGTGGGACCGAGGGACTGCATGAGTAGCTTGAGGAAAGGGATGGAGTTCTGCAACCTCTAATCTCTCCAAGGAACACTGGAGGTGAGGTTCACGTTTAGGGGATCCCCCCGTCTATAAGGACAGGCCGAATGGGTGAGTACCATAGACCATAAACACCGCCATAGACTGGGGGCGGCATGGTCATGCAGTGGTTAGCACTGTTGCATCACACCTCTGGGACCTGGGTTCAATTGTCTGCCAGGGTTCCATGTGTGTGGAGTTTGCATGCTCTCCCCATGTGGTCGTAGGGTTTCCCCCACAGTCCAAAAACATGCTGAGACTGTTTGGAGTTACCAGATTGCCTATAGGTGTGAGTTGGTTGGGTGGGTTGGTGCCCCATCCTGGGTTGTTCCCTGCCTTGCGCCCATAGCCTCTGGGATTGGCTCTGGACCCTTGTGACCCTGAATAGGACAAGTGGTTTCAGAAAATGGGTGGATGTATGGATGCCATAGACAACCCCAGGGAATGTTCATATAGAACCTTTCCTAGCTGAATTACAGTATACTTCCCAGCTAGTTTTAAATGGCCTTTAAGATAAATGACCTCAGCATTTTTCCGTATTGCTCACCAGGAGATCTGTTTTACTGGTTATGAGGCTTAGTGGTACTGAACCAGTATGTGTATAACTGTATCACAGGAATTTAATGTACAATTTCATCTTCACAAAAACCTATTTGAGATCAGCTAATAAGTTCTACAGGTTTCAAGTGTAGTTTCTGGAAGGGTAACAGCATACTATGCATTTAGAATATATGTCAGAGCAACAGGAGGGTTGACCAGAGCACCCCGCCCCCCCCACCCTGCTCTAAAACAGCTTGGCTGCATTAATACTCAGCACCTTCCAAAGCATAGAATAAATCCCCTCGTTTAACTGGAAAACCTGGCGAAGGCTGGGGAGCCTCATGCCGACGGTGCTCACGTGTGTGAATCATCGCCTGCGACAGCAGCCGTCGATTTGTCCCACCAGCCCGAAGTGACAAGCGTCGGCTCGTTAATCAGAGAGGCGAGCGGCACGACCTTGGATGGCGGATGGGTTCAGGTGACGGGACGCTAATCTGTTAATATGCACAACGGTGTTCCTCCTGTTATTACACGCCCGCGCTGTTGTTGTTGTTGTGATGCCATGTTCCCCTCACGGAGATTTAAGACTGAGGTAGATAAACAAAACGGCCAACCGCAGACATGCTCCCTCCTCATCACCGTCGGCTACCGGTGTGCCGTCATCTGCCGGATCGCTGTAATCCCCAACTGAACAAGTACGATGGCACCAATCCCATGCCCCTTGGCTGGGCCAAAACTAGAGGGGACGTCAAAATCAATAAGGGCAAAAACCAGGTACAGGCTGGAGGCGTAAGAAAACAGTACATGTCAGCAACTCACTCCACCCGGCTTGTGTCTATATACAACATTACATGGGAGACACAGATTCATATAAACAACAGAGCTGATGGGTCCGTGTAGGATTTCCTGTGGCCCCGTTAAAAGCTTTGCTGCTATGCAGCATCCAGCTTGGAGAGGTTGATCATTAACCAGCAGTAATCAGGTTGAATAAAACCATAGCGACCATGGCTTCTTGGAAGCTTGCGCTTTGTGGTCACCTTGTGGCTCATCTCACGCCCGACGCACACACGGGGCCCGCCCACGAGAGAAGTGCGTTCGTACAGCCATAACGCTACAGCTGCTGCCTTTGTTTTCTGCTCCCATGGATGCATTCGTCTTGTGCTTAACGAGCGTTCCTGGGTTTCGGTCAGTCTTTCCATGCGTAACTAATGCATTAATAACCATTACATGCAGAGCCTGTCATCAGGCCTGGTACATTAACATGGCAATATATCCCTTTTTGTTGGAAGGTGACCCCCACCACTGTTTATAGATAGTTGTATTACATCATGGTGAAGAGATAAGGCGAAGGATACATTGCATTGTTAAAAAATGAAATATTTTATCATCTTTTTATTATTATTTATACTTCATCCATACTAATTTTGCAGCCAATTTGTATTCATTTACTTTAAGGAATGTGTGACGGCCAGCTGGGCTGTATCAAGAAATCATTTTCCCTGAACCGTCTGTCAGCATCTGTCTGCCCGTGAGACATGACTCTAATCAACTCTCTTATTCCCGCCAGTCATCCATCATAATGCCCCACACCCAGCAAAGACAGTAGCTGGCATCTGTCAGGGGAGGAGCAGTGGACAGCAGATGGGGAAATACTCTTCTCCAATTCCTGTCCATTAACCCCCACCCCCTACTCCAAGGACACATAGATTGTAGGGGGGGGGGGATGGGGTAGTGTCACCTAAACAGTCACTGGACAGCCTACATACCTGTTACCGGGGGTGTTTGTACAACCACAGCGTAGTCGGCCTGTTCTCGCTAACAACCTCATCCATTATTGTCAGCTACTCAGTTTCCACACCGCCCTGTGAGCTGCAGAGTGTTTGTCAGCGGCCTGCTCCATGTGCCAATGCGCCCCCCGGCTCTCCTGAGGCCCTGCCCCCCTGCCTTCCACACCCGCATCACCATTTTTCTGATGTCATCTGTGAGCAGTTCATTCTTTCCCCACTAGAGGCACTATCAAACTGAGTAACCCACTGGTGAACCTTGCCCCCCATCCATGTGCAGTTGTACATTAACTGGAGAGGTATCAGTGTTGGAGGCAGACATTGGGGTGGAAGAGGCTTCTTTCCAATGAGTTGTATCATCAGGGAAACACCTACCCAAGTAAGGGTACAGGTGCACCACATTTTTTTCAGGTTTTTACTTAAAAATACTCACTGCATGTTATCCAGCAAACATTTCGTCCTCCTAGACATTAATCTGTTTTTCCAAATGGGGAGGTGTGAGCGATTGAACTGACCTGGCAGAAATCATATTTATGCCCATTCAGCTCCCAACCACTAGAGGGCAGGCTTTATCCAATGAAACGGGATTCTTCTTAAATATGGAAAAAAAAATATTTATTTAAGTATACATTATGAAATTTTACACCTTTTTTTCATCTCAGCAAACCCTTGTACACACAAAATACATCGATGTATAGATTTTTAAATCGTAATAACATGGTTTACAAAACACCATACCCTATACTATGATTAGAAAGATGGTACAGCCATAAAAATAGCAGAATTATCAGGGGGACCTTCATAAACTTTTATTTACTGGGAAATGTTCACGAATTGACTGCACTAAAATAAACATCTGTAGATTGGACACATACAAATTGCAAAATAGTAAAACACCTTCATGTTCAACACTAGATTTGCTTAAAATATGTATTAAAACTAATTCACCTATAGAAAATATCTTGAGAAAATATCTGCATTTATACAGTAGAGGAACGTCTGTACCTTCCTTTAGTGTCTGAAGAAGTAAACAAACCCTGCTTCCATGGCAACTTGTGCAAAAAAAATCACACCGAGGACAGTCAGTTTTCCACTATTTAAAATCTCATTAATTACCTGACCAGGTTAATAAACGCAGCTTTTAATGCCAACCCACTTCTGAGTACTCCCTCCACAAAAGGTGGCAGAAGCTTCGGGAGATCTCCTGAAACAGCACCATGTTGGTATTTACATTGTATCATCTACTGGAAATCAGATTATCTATGAGTAATAGAAAACCTTTAACTGTTAATTTAGCACATGTTCACCCTGCATGCGAGTTACTGATTAATCTCAGTAGTGCTGAACTCTGGCTTGACAAACGGCACAAGGTCTGTTCAGAAATGAGTCTTGCTTAAACAAGTCCCCTGTTCAGTTATTATTAAAGTGAAGTTTCCTTTTAAAATCCAAAGTGACTAGTGACACACACGACATATATGAATATAATCTAACAAACATATATAACTTAATGAACATGGCATGTCATTTACATACGCCGTATATGTATGTACAGTGGTGGCCAAAATTATTAGAACACCTGACAGATCTGAAAATATTGACCTTTTTTGCCTCCAAAACATGATTTCATTTCATAATGTTCATGAAATATGCAGATGGTTTTGCTGAGTACACCAAATATCAGATGAAGTGAGTCCTACTGTTTTTATCCACTTTTAACTTTAATATTTGTTGTGTCCACCTTTTGCTGCAATTACGGCAGCACATCTTTTTTTTTTTTTTCCCCACTTTCATCATCATGCATACTATTGCCTCTGTACTTTAAGTCATTTATTATGTTCATAGTTTATTGTGTGTCTGTGTGTCATCGGTTGCGTTTAATGTTACTACTGTTATTTGTGCGCGTTGCTCCTCTATGCCTTTTAAATTGCCCCTCGGGGACAAATAAAGTTTTTTGAAATTGAAATTGAACATCTCTCTGGCATAGTGTCAGTGCATTTCCTGAGAACTTCAACACTAACGTTATCCCATGCCTTCTGCAACTCAAGCCAAAGGCTTTCTTTTGAATGTACAATAGATCTGTCCAGGTTATTTTCCAACTCGCCCCAAATTTGCTTGATGGGGTTGAGGTCTGGACTTTGAGGGGGCCAGTCCATCATTTTCAGTATTCCAGCAGACTACTCCTGTCGCAGGTAGTTCCGGCAATAGTTAGAAGAATGTTTAGGGTCACTGTACTCTTGGAAAATGAATCCAGGCCCAATAAGATGACTATCAGATGGTACTCCATGCCTCACCAGAATGTTGTGGTATACTTTCTTATCCATGATGCCATCAATCTTCACTAAGTCACCTGTTCTTGAGGCTGAAATAGCACCCCACACCATAATACTACCCCCTCCGTGTTTAACTGTTGGCAAGAGACACTCCTTTTTATATCTCTCCCACTTCCTCCGTCAAACATACACTCTTTGCTTGTCGCCGAACTGTTCAAACTTGGAATCATCAGTCCACAACACTTTATACCAATCTTCCTTTTTCCATTTCTTGTGTTCTTTTGCAAATTTCAGGCATTTCACTATATTGTTCTCTCTCAAAAATGGTTTCTATGCTGCTATTCTGCCAACAAGTCCTTCTTCTCCCAGTCTCCGACACACAGTTCTTGAGGACACTGATGCACCATTAGTCATTGTGGTGTTGATCTCGTCACGCCGTTCTCGTGAGGTCTTTCTTCTGTCCTTAAGACTGAAAATTTTTAGATGCTTCATTTGTCTGTCTCAAAGTTTCTTTTTCCTCCCTCTTCCCTTTCGGTTCTAGTGTGAATTGGGGGCATCATGGCAGTCTAAAGTGTACTTTGTAGTGCTTGGACTGCATCTCAAGTCCTTGGCTATGCGGCGGTAACTCCAGCCAGCATCAAGAAGGGCCTTTAATCGAACTCGTTAGCTCCTTCTTCACCTTAGCTATGTTCAAAGAAGAGCAACATGTGCTTCAGGACTACTAATAGAGGCTTTGAATTTATACCAACTGGTGGTCGGCCTCAGTGACAAACCCTGATGTTACCAATCACTTAATGAGCAGGATAGACCTTGTACATTCAAAAGAATCACTCAGCTGTAAGACTCTTGATTCACCATCAGTGCAACCATGATCACACCTGACAGTGATTAAACAAGTAATTTGGCTTCTTCTGTGAAGAAACATGATTGTGTGCCATTGACAGTGAAATAAGCCTAGCTTGTTTTTTGTAAGGAACATGACCTAAATTTCCTTATGGTGGCTCTATTCTATGGTTTATACAGCATGATGATGACTTTTTAGAATTCATTCGTTTTATGGATATTTTAATGGCCACTTCAACAAAAACAACTGAGACCTCTTAAAAATGGCAAGTGTTCTAATAATTTTGGCCACCACTGTATGTATTATACACACACATGCACAAAGTAATGCACACAAAATTATATTTTGAAGGGAAGAATCATGACTTTACAGAAGGTTTTTTTGTAGCAATAGAGCGTGAGTCACAGCTAATGCTACTGCGACAAAAAGGAAGTAACAGGTTGGGACACTTTGGGGACAGGTAACCCCCGTTAGACGGGCCGCCTGTGGCAGGCCTCCTGGTAGCTGGTGGCGTTGAGGGTCCTGAACATATCCCTGCGAACAAACGACAGGAAGTTGTCAAAGGGGCACAGGGGCTGGCCAGGGTGGCGCTCGCGAGACTGGCAGAAGGCGGTTTGGAAGGTGACGTCCTCGCCATCATAGAGTATGCGCACGAACAGCCGCTGGCGCTCTGAGCTGCCATCTTCCTGCCGGGGCTGCGGTGGGATCCGCCACAACTCGAATACCAGGCGCGCGGCAAAGCGCGGGAAGCGGGCCTTGGCCAGCCCCAGCGCGCTCAGCAGCGGCACCAGCGTCACATCGTGTGCCGAGAAGACCGCCAGCGCCTCCCCGCCATCGCGGCCCTCTGCAGCGCGCAGCATGCACCCCGCCGTACGGTTCAGGAAGGGGTGCGCAGCCAGCAGCGCGTAGCGGTGGTATAGCCCCTGGCGACGCCGGTCCTCCTCATCCTCCAGCTGCTGCCGCTTGATTATGGCCAGTTGCCGTGGCGATAGGCAGCCCTGCGCAGTACATGGGAAGCTCAGGCCGTGGCAAAGGTGGCACGTCAGAGAGTCGACAGGGTTGGCGGCACGTAGCTGCCGCGGGGCCACGCCCACCATCCGCGCCATGTCCGCGTACGTGCGGTCCAGCTCGGTGTCCGCCACGCGGAGTCGATACTGCCGCCGTTGCTCCTCCTCCAGGTAGCGGTTCCGGGCGGGACAGTCACAGTGAGCCCCGCAGAAGAGCGTGCTGGCCTGATGCTGCACCAGCACCTCGGCCCAGTCAAAGTCCGGTAGCAGGCCGTACAGCAGAGCCAGGCCGCTCTGCAGCGTGCGGCTCTTGCCCGTCGACTCCACGTACAGCTGCCGGGCCGTCCAGCCGGGCCGCAGCAGCCTGTGCCGCTTCATGTAGGCGTCACGCAGGAGCTGTCCATTTCGCAGGTGTTGCACGATGCCTGTATGAGGCAAGAGAGAAGCAGAGGTCTGCTTACGGGAAGATACAAGCTTCAGTACACCTCTGAGCATAAAGGAAATGGTATCAGGGAACATACAGATAATACTTCAGCTTTTATTTCGTGTTTGTGTAATAATAATAATAATCGATACTTTATTGATCCCCGTGGGGAAATAGTCTTTTTTACGCCTCCCTTAACTTGCTCTTCGTAGAGTAAGCTGTCCGCAAAGGCAGCCACCTGTTAGGGCGGCCAGTGAGCTGGGGGTTAAGGGCCTTGCTCAAGGACCCGCAGAGGTGCTGAGGCTGGGTTTGAACCAGTGACCCTCTGATTACAGGCACACAGGCTTAGCCAACTGAGCCACACGTTGCTCCCTTACCTGCTTTGAAGCAAAATAATATCAAACGGAAAACTTTATCATAGCTCATACAGATTTATCAAAGCCTGATGACCTCTACTTATTCAGTTGGACTGTACGGCAGATGCAGTGCATGAGACAGCACACCCTGAGAACTTTAACCCTCCCCTTTAACAGTCCACGGTCTTACCCGTTTGTGTGAGCTCCCCCATCTCACACATGCTGTGACTGGGGAGGCGGGGCAGGGCGCTCAACGTGGGGTCCCAGCGTCCACGCCCTCCCCAAGACATGTGATTGATAAAAGTGGCCAGCAGTGGGTGGGAGGGGCTCCTGTGGGGAGGGGGGGATGTTAATTATTCCATCAGATAACACAGCGAACAAGTTCACACTCTTCAGCAAGCTGTGGGTCTGCTGCGTATCCCCACATGACGGGCAGTTCCTCACAGCTGCAGCTGGCCGGGGTGGCTGTGGGGGAGTGGGTGGGGTTTAGGACATGGTGAGCCCGCAGGGACCTATACATAGCTGGGAACGAGGAATAAAGGGCAGGCAGCCTGGGCGTCTCGGGGTGGAGGGGGGGCAGAGACAGCAGATCGCTCTGTGAGAACGCCGCCCCCTTCCTGGTTAGAGTTAGGGCAGCTACAGACACACTGCAGGGTCAAAGACAGCCCACAAAAACATCATCATATCCTCAATGTTCAGAACGAAGCGTGCTGAAATATAAACTGTCCCCACCTAAAATTGTAAACACAGCATGAAACAACACAAAACAGGTCCTTATACTCCCCCAGAAGATGGTTATGAAGCTTTGTGCTGACAGCTCAGCCAAGTAAACTTTAGGTAAGCTAACTATTCTTTCAGTGATTTGATGTCTTTTAGTCGGTGTGGTTGTCATATCTACCACCAGAGGGCGCTAAGACACCGCACATCAAAAAGATTACCGCTAAATCACTAAACTGCAAAGATCACGTCACGGAAGAATTATAACAATCTGTGAACACCCTACATTAATCTTTTTTGACAGCTGATTAAACATGTAAAACCTAAAAAAAAATATTTATCCAGTAAAGTATCTTTAGATAAAATGTATTTAAATCAACAGACCGGCTTGACATTTAAAGAAAACTTGAGACAAGGAAACACAAGGACTGAAACACATTCCTTCATATCACCTTACTAAAGGAATATGTTGGTTTTGTAAAACACACACACACACACACACACACACACACAGAGCTAGGATTTCAGAGCCGACTTCCTTCACACATGAGCAGTCAGACGCCTAACACACAGTACCGTGTTGAAATCTCTCTTCACCACTGCCACTGCGTCACACAGCTGGACTTCCCAGAAGCCCTATAGATGAAAATCCACCCAGACCAGTCAACTCCCTCATGTCATGCTGCAAGGGGCTAAATTTCACATACAGTCTGATCAGGAGAGGGTAGTGCACCCTGAGGGCTGAGCAGCATTGTGTCCAGGGGTACCACAGTGCAACCCCCCCCCCCCCCGAGACCACAATACTGAAGGGCTAGTCCTACTTTGTATAGCCAACACTGGGCCATCCGGACCCCCTCCCCTTCCTTCTCTTTGTTTGTCCCCCCTTCCCCTCCGTGAGTAGCGCCCCATATGTGAGCTCAGAGGTCCAGACCTGGCTGGGTTATTCACACAGCCCCTTTCTGTTGTGTAGCAGGATCTGGGACATGAGTGCTGAGATTGAGGGAGGCTGGGGCACGTATAGAAAGATCAAGTCACCTCAGTCACACCCCAGCCGTCGGGCAGAAGCTGACGCGGAAACCTGAGTCTGCAGGGCAACGACAGCCACTGTGAATAATTCCATTTATTAGCATCCCCACCCCGCCTGGAAATTACGCGGATCCTCGCCCCGGCAGGCTGCAGCTTCCCCCACCGTGATGCCTCTGATTAACAGCCTCACTCCCCCCCATGCTTGTCCAGCAAGAGGGAATCTTTTGAGTCTCAGGATATTTCATTCACCCTGGGACCCGGGTTGGATAACAGTGATGTGACAAGCGTAGATCCAGGAGGGGGCTGTTTTAATACATCTGCCTGTAATACATTTGTATGCCAGAATTACACGTCACGGGCTAAATGAGTCACAGATTAATTAGCACCAGCTGTACTAATGTAGCAGAGTGACCAACACTGTTAATCAGGAGCAAAGTCTGCCTTCTGATACCCAACAGGAGCACACAAACTAACCAGACTTTCCACAAGTTCACCACAATAAGGAAATGAACGTCTTTAGAAGGTGTCTTCAGACTCATTAAACCCACAGCAGCTGGTAGCAGTCTCCATGCCAGGCTGAAAGTGCTCTCATTAGGAGACACCTAGGGACTGTGTGTGTGGTTGCTTGGTTGCTTGATTATGGGGTAGAATGAGGGAGGAAGGGAGAGAGGAAGAGATGGAGGGGGTATGCCACATACCAGGGTGGGGGAAGGAACATTCTTTCGAAGTGGAATAAGCAAAAGCCACTGAGAAGAGCTGCAGGCCAGCGTGGCAGAAAGGCGACTCAAACACGGCTCCATTCCCATAATTACAGGATGTAAAAATAAAAGTAGGAAGATTATGGCACTGGTTATAAATAGGCTTTGGTACTCCCTGTAACACACACTCTTTTCAGTACCACAATGGACACAATCCAGAGTGTGTTCCCCATCTGAAGCGACCACCTTTGCAGTCCCCCCCCCCCACACTCTTGTATTGGCCCTGTATGAGGTGGTGCTCAGTTGGTATGATAGAAGGAGGAGATAGAGATGAGGAGAAGCAGTTTAATAACAGGAGAGGAATAAGTTACACAATCATCGACAGTTGGTAGAGCACTGATGAAAGACATGAATAAACATTACACTAAAAGCCTGGAAGGAGTCTGGCACTGTACAAAATGATCTGTAATGTTTTACCAACCAACGGACTTCTCAGTTTAAAGCTGCCACAAATCGGTTCCTCAAGGAAATTCTAGGGACCTGGAACATGGCTCCTGTTCACAAGTTCCTGGGCTGTCTAGACCTGGGACTTTGGTAGCTCCTGGCCACTTTTGTCTGTCGCTTTCACACTGCACAACAGGAGCTTGGGACCTTTATGCGAAATACGCATGGGAGATGCCAAAAGGTCGTATGTTAAACTTCACAAGTAATTACATGCAACACTTCACTGGCACTCCAAAACAATGGAGGATGAACAAGTCGTTTTATGTTATGTTAGTTACAGGGGGATCATTTGCGATCAAAACAGGACACAGCCTTTTATTTATACGACCCATAATTCTTATTAAGTCTGGCCAGCAGATTGATATTTTGTTTTCCACAGAATTTTTTTTTTCTTTCAGCTAATAAGTGCTGGCAAGTTTCACCACCACCACTATGTTGGTTATCAATCGAATTTTCCAATGCAGAAATATTGGAGAGACAAGCAAAGAAATGTAGTATTTGATGCATTAAATGTAACTGAGGTACAAAAGTAACTCCATCTGCTCAATTTTTTGCTCTGCTACTTCTGTTTTCCCTGCACTTCCATGTAACTTCCAAGTTAGCATTGGTGCTTGTGGTCAACCACTCAGCAAGCCACAGCTGTAAGCGCGACCCCAGTAGTTTGCGTTCAGATGAAAAGTACCTAGTCTGGAGCAGGTACGAAAAAAGGTTCCGGAACTGCTTCCAAGGAACTACAATTGGGCCTAGTTCCTGGTTCTTGAAAAAAGGTTGTGGTTCCTGAAAAAAATTCCTGCGGTGTGAAAAGCGCTCTCTGACACAGAGAGTGTGGTTCCCCTCCCAGACACTAACATGTGAACTGGAAAGCACCCCCACCTCAGTGCCTTCACCAGGCCCCATCTCCTCGACACCTTGAGGAATCTGACAAAGGTTCCATTTCAGAGTCGGAGGGTTACGCAGTGCAGAAGAACAGGTGACGAGTACAAAGCCGCCCACACTGTGTGTGTGGTGGCAGGAGGCAGACAGTGCAGCCCCACCTGGCAGGGGAAGTGGGCGGGTAACAAAAAGGCCATTCAGCTGCAGTGGAAAAGGGGAGAGCTGCTTGCGGTCAGGGCTGACAGCCAGGGTGTGGCAGCCACAGAAAACTCAGCTGCAGCACACTGGTGCTGCCCAAAGATTTTTCACTGTGCACAAAGTGGAAACACACGGATGTTTCAGTTTCCTGGGCCGGTCACTTGGTACAGCGGACATGGCCGGAAATGATCCGCCACCGCAGGTCACATAAAGGGAAGATACTTCAACCAAAAATGGCTGTTGAACATGAGAACAAAGAAACCATAGCTGGGGAAGACGTGACGGAGGTCACATGGGTGAGAATGTGGCTCTGAGGCAGGGAGGGGAGCCATCTCAGGACTCATCATAGAGGAACGGGTGAGCTGCCTGTCAGCCACTCAGCCGTCAGGAACGCTCAGCATATTGGACAGAAGGTACTGTGCCTCAGTGGTGGAGCCAGAAAATTTTCAGTGGGATGGCCAGGGTGGGACCAAAAGTCATTTTAGGGTGGAACATAAATCTAAATATGAATTTAAGGCATCTAGAAAAAAAGGAATATTTAAGGTGCCATCCATCCATCCATCCATCCATCACCGTAACCGCTTAATCCCAACTGGGGTTGCGGAGGGGACCAGAGCCCATCCCAGGAACAAACCGGGAGCAGCACTACGGGCTCATTCTTTATCAGTACATCATCAGGGACACAGAGAAACAGTTATGGTCTGGTTTAACCAAAATGCATATATGACAGTGGGGGCCAATGAGGTGGCCAGATTTCAGTAAAGGGGGCCACAGCCACCCTTTGCCACCACCCCTGCCCCCGATCCATGTATGTTGTGCCTGCACATATCACATATGCCTGGGGAACACAAGGCCTCTGTATGCAGCTTGCCTTCCTTGCCTTCCTTGCCTTCCTTGCCCTCTGGCTTTTCATCCCTTGGAGGCAAGAATACAAATAGAAGCAGCTCACCCTTCGGCAACGTGACGTACTGACCAAGGACGTGCCTTTTCTAACCACCCAACGCGTTCAGCTGGGTACACACACCCACATTAGCTATGGCAAGGCCTAAACTCAGCTTGCTGACAACCTGGTGGGGCTGGACAGCTAAGAGGACACCCATATCACTCCCTCCTATGGTAAGAGTTCAGCAGTACGTCTTAGGATATGACAGTAATATAGAGGAAGCTGAAACCTAAACTGCCAGTTTCCCTGAAACAGTAATCAGTCAAACAGATATCTATCAGATATAACCTTTGTATGCATTTTCACTGGGGGTTTTCACCATGGTTGCCTAACAATCTCATAGCACCACCTCGTCAGGCACAGTGCTTATGGTGTCGTCACGGCAGCAGCCGTGGGTAGCGACTCACCTGTAGGGCACCAGCATGCAGTCAACGGCAGGCCTTTTGGTTTTGGGAATGGCGTAGAGCGGGTACCGGTCGCCATGGCGAATCATCACCTGGACTGACAGCAGCTCGTAGTCGGCTGGGCTGTGGCCTGGATGATGACACCGTGCAGTTAGGACTGTGAGGGAGTCTTCAAAAACAGACTAATATGAGTGTTGGAAAAATATCTTTCCTACATTATTAGCTTAAGCATGTAATTCAGTGACATGGCCAATGAACAGGCCTGTGTCGCGGATGCTTAGCTACATTGCTACTCCTCCCATTTCCCACCTCTCCAATGTGAAGTTACAGTGAAACTCGAAACTGCATTGTTCTGTTCTCTTAGGCCCCGAACACACTGGCTGCGTGGTGCATGCGTCGTGGCTGCGGCGCATACATGTGCAGTTGTCCACATCACCCGTGCTACTACTGAAAGCTGTGTCTTACTACAATGAGTTTACCTTTGATAATGGCCATCAGTAATAAAATGTTTGCCTTCAGGTCATTATAAAATGTATTCATAGTTTAGACAGACAACGGTTAAGCGTGTGCTACAGTACTTGTGACAGCACTACCCTTCACAGAAAAGTGGTGAGGGGCTTTTGAAAGCCACACTAGGAAGGATTATCACGTGCCATCGGTAGGGTATGACCGTTCAGCCCAGAGGGGCGGCTCGCAATCCCACCCACCATGAGCCTGAAAGTCTTACTTCCTCCATCACCAATGAACCACAAGTGAGAGCTGATGACTCTTTGACAGCTGGCTGCAGAAAGAGCGCACAGCAGTTAAGTCTAGATCTAGAAAACAGATTAGCAACCCCAGAGGTGAAAACGCCTAACAAATTGTCCTTTGTGTTAAAGTGCCAGGATCGCGGACAGAAACATTAGCAGTCATGCAGGAGAATGTCTGCATGGCAACAAAAATTCTGTGTTAAAATTACAGGCCTGTTGAGGACCTAAGGGCCATAAAACTCCAACTAAAGAAATACCAGAAAAACAGGACGGGAAACTCAAGCTTCCCTCAGCTGACTTGGACGAATCAGCAATCCAAGGCCACTTTATGACCAATGTGTGTTTTATTATGTGGAATCGAGGGAGGGAGCCGGGGGAAAGAAATATGGAGGGAGATACAGTAAAAATATAGGTGGGAGATAAAAAACATCATTCCTGTTATATATCTCTGTGAAAAAAACTATAAAATGTTTTATACACATAGGGATCTGCAGCTCCCCAGCTACATTTCACGTTATGACTACACAAGTGCGCTGCCATCGGTGAACTGTCCTTTCTGGTGTGTTCCGGTGTTGAGGCAGTTCACATCTACAAAAGCCACTTGGCCACCCGCTGGCCGGGGCGAAAAGGCCTTACCCTCCCAGCCTCGCTCTGTGCGATTTGGGATGTTGCAGTAGGCATAAGCCTCCTTGATGGGGTCCAGCACTGGGGGCTCTGTGTGTAAGACGGGAGGGACCCTCTTCCTATTCTTCCCCGGGGACCTCTCATCTCCGACGGGGGAGACAGGGATGATGTGCACTGGGGAAGGACAGGACAGGTCACCTTATTTAGATGTAAAGAATAGCTGAGGATGAGCTGTGGGGGGGAACACAACTTACAGGACAGGGCAGTCAAGTGTGCATACAAACAAACACACACACACATCAACAGCACTTCAGATTAATAGGGCCATAATTAACAAGTATCTTCCCATCTCCTGCAGCAGCAAAATGAAAGTGAGACAAACATCCCTGCAGAAAGAGCAAATAAAATAAACATATCTGAGGAACTTGAAAGCCACGGGCAATTTATGGTTCCCCACAGAAAGGTAAGAAAAGCAAACTGTCAGCTCCTCCACCCAACATTGGGGTCTGATCTCACCCCGGAGGTGAACACTCGTCTTAACCCTGGGGGAAGTCATCACTTTGTTCTTTGGAAAAACAGGGACAGGGACTATTTCAGACACCCTCAGGCTCTCCCGGGAATGGCCGCCAGAAAACTCCGTCAGTGCTCAGGCAGAACTTTGGGCGGCCGGGATGCGGAGACGGGACTGCCCGCGCCGGTCGAGGGAGGAGTACCACACTGCGGGGCTCTCTGTCTGACAGTCTAGACGCCGGCGTTCACTATAGTGTATGTGTGTGTTTTAAGGGCGCGGGAGCGGGCAAAATCTGCCCAGCAAAGCCGCACAGTAGACATCACAGCAGACTGCAGTGTTTTATGCATAAACCCCCTGACACATCCCCTTTAACCCTTTCAAACAAACATTTTGAGTCATGCAACCAAACCAGTCTGTAAGCTATGTGGATATGAGCTCTTATGTGCTGTGCATAAGCTGCAAGTCTAATAGCAAGTGGGTCACACGCAGCATTTGGCTTCACCTGTCTGTCGTGCTAAAGAAACACAGGGGCGACCCTGGTTCTGATTTGGGTAGATACCGCAATTGAGGCGCTGCTGAAACAACCATCCCTTCACCTTCTTACCTTCACGGGAATCGGATACAGATACACATGTACACCAAATCCCAGAACAATAATTCTAGCCATTTCTGGGGAATGAAATAAAACAGGACAGGGTTCACTCACCAACCAATAGCAGCAGCACTGGCGATATAGACGAGGAGGAGACCATCCTCTCGACAGCTCGGCGCAGTCAACCAGCTACACACAGGCATCTATTCACCACTGTGATGCCTGAGCCCCTGCAAGTTTAATGGTCCCCGACCAGCAGCCAATCACAGTTTACTGCTCTCTGTAGAAAGGCCCCTTTATAGTCTGTGGTTGGTTAGACGCCCATGGAACTGCTCGTAAGAGCTTTTGCAAAACACGTTGCCGAAATGTAGACCCCATGTCTACACGGTACACACCCTCCACCCATCTTTACCAGGACTCATTTCTAAGTGGGAGACCTCCTGCATCATCATTGGAAGGGACCTTCTAGGGCACTTAGGGGTGAAAAGAAGCCTCTCGGAAAATCAGTCAGGTACCAGACCACCTACTCATTCAGTGACAGACATTGGCAGCACTTCAAAGTCTATCTCTTAAAAAACATCCAAACCAGCAAGATGTCTGACTGATTCTCCTTTGAGAAAAACATATTGTACAAACACAATTGCGACCTGGAATTTTCCCATTTATGTGTACTATGTTACTACAGACTAAACAAATTTCATGTGTGAATTCACAGTCTGAACAGAATGATTTGAATGATTTCTAACAGTTTAAATCCTGCCAGTTGCTTTGGATCTGGAAAGGTTTTGTGTGGCAGCTGTCCACAGCGGAGCCTTGCTTTAATTCCTGTACTCAGTGACTGCGCACCATCTGACAGCCTACACATTATACGTGATCAGTATGTAGACATCGCTTTCATGATACATTAAAACTTATCCCAAGAGTACTGTCAGACTTCACAGATTTCCCATAAGCTTCAGGAGCCGACTTGCATTTTAACTGTCATTATCACCACCAGAAAGTCCCAGACCAAATATGGACTTTTTGCTTAAAAAAAAAAGTAAATAATCTGAGATCATCAAGTGGCTTTCTGTTTCGAGCCCGTCAGATCATGTGGTCAACCTCAGGGTATTTTGCTATTGATATTATGGTGGTTAGTTTTTTCTTGGTGGGGTGGGGGGCTGCCATCTGTACTGGCAGGGAGAGTCGGGCGGCTGCAGTCAGTGATGATAATTCAGTAAATCTGCCCTTGTTCAAAACGTCCAGCATGTACAGTGTCCATTTCATTGCTTGGTGCCAGCCCATGCTTTCAGACTTCCTCTCTCCTCACATTAAAATCTCCCTCCACTCCACCTCCTCTCTACGCCTTACAATCCCCTCATCACTGTGAAAGAGGAGGTAACACCAGAGTTTCAGCAAAAAGAGGAACCTCATCAGATGGGGGAATGTCACAATCAAGCACCACGGTTCATCTGCCTGTCTGCTTCCCTGGCATTCTTCCTGCTGTGCTCCAGGACAACGCCAGTGCTATGAGTGCAGTGAATCGGGACAAAAATAATATCTGCAATGGAAAGTGAGGTTTTCGTACCATTAATTACATGCCCTTATAATGTGATACACATGTAAAAACAGGGCATAACGATCACAGTGACAGGCACACAGAAGAGGGGAATATGCCGGTATAACCAGTACAGGGTGCAGCTCTGTTTATGAGGCCAAAGGGCAACAACAGTGAACATTAACATCACAGAAAGGATGGGGTGTCAGCTGTCTGTTTATCCAGCAGTTCCGGAACTGAAAGTCTTGTTATCACAGAATCCCAGTGCCAGCGGCAGAATAAATCTGATGGACGGGCCCAAGATGTACCTGGGGGGCAGTGTGGGGTGGCGAGACACACCAAAAAGCATACTTGGGTATTTTTAGGCAGAATAGCGGTACACAACACTATATTATATTATATTATATTATTTTAATTATAATATTATATTATATTATATTATATTAATTATAATACTATATTATATTATATATCTGTGTTTTGTATGAAGTAGGCTAAATGTTTCATTTTAAATCAAAGCCACTTGTCCAAAACCATTTCATTAAAACAGTTTGGTTAAAACAAAATGCAAAGGGTTTCCTTCCATATTTGCAAATATATTGAGACACTATTAAGAATACAACTCCATGCACCTGCAGAAGATGGATGGGGGGGTGGTGTCTGCAGCCTACCCTGGAGGCTACAGGCTTAAGGCAGGGAACATAGTACAACAGAATACAACTATAACTATTAAGTATAGACAAGTCATTATTGCAAACAGAAGCCTCAAAATAAAGACAAAAATAAATGAACTGTTGTCACATGGGTCCAGTAAAACACCCTCAACATAAAACCCTTTCACTCCACTATGCCTAGCAACAGCATTTTTAAGTCAGTTTATGACATTACTCTAAAAACAGAAGGTGCATGTTTATGAACACAGTAACTTTGAAACTTCTCGGTGCCATTACTGTTGCATTTTTAATACTGAATCTTAAGTATAGTGCTCCAAGTGTGTATAGGAGTAACTTTGTACGAGCACAATTTGCATAATTTGTATATTATATAAATAGGTCTTATAAAAACATAAGAACATACTTTTTATTTTATAGTTCAGGATAGCAGACTTTTACGGGTAGAGGGTGGGGTGCCCAAGCATTATTTATGAATTCACATTCAGGGGGGTCTACCTCCCCTAACCTAGCCAAAAATGAAACTGAAATAAAAAAGACAGTGTCCTTAGTGGGTGGTGCAGAGCTGGGGGTGCACAGTGGCGTATTTGGGGGGTACATGATCAACAAATGCCTCCCCATGACACTGAATCTGCAGAAGGCCAAAATGAGATTGCAGAGAGAGGGTAGGGGAAGACCAGAGAATTAACCAGAAATACTGGAAGGATGACATGAGGGGTATTAAGTGCATTACCCGATTCATCCAAAAGTTATCAAAAAATAAAACCCAATTGGCCCACTTCCTGCCCAAGCGGAGTCGAAGGGTCTGGGGCTGTGATGTAACCCAGGCGATCAATGAAACCGACCTTTAGCTGAAAGGCACAATGCAGCCGACTCCAACTCAATCAGGTTAGAACACAAGACGCCGCTCTCGGTTTCTGTGGTGGCTGGGAGCATTCCATTTTCAGAC